CCACAAAACAAAAAGAAACGAAAATACAAAATAAAACAAAACAAAAACAAAAACAAAAAGTAATTCGAAATCGAAACCCGCCGCATTTTTGTGCCGCCTCATGCAAGGAGCTCTCTTTGGGAGAGTAACACCTACTAAACTATGGGGCAGAAGCAGCAGCATGAGATACACCTTGTGGCCCGAACAGAGAGCAGAAGTTAATTATCTGTTAACTCTTACTTGAGGCCAATTCACGCCTCAAAAGAAGGATTGAACAGAAGAAGGCACAGGGATAGAGATATGCGGTAGTCATCGATGTACGATAGGGCGTGACAGCACTTTTTTTTTCTCTCCCTCTGCCTCTCTCTCTTTGCTTTCGATAAATGCAAATCATCTACCGAATACACGCCGCTTGCGGTGGTCATCCTCATCGGAGGTCTCTTCCCTCTTCGGTTTCTTTGCAACAAAAGCATTGTCCGTCGCATCTGCCCTCGTCTCCTCTCGAGTACCTTTTCTGTTCTCCATTACATGGTACTTGAATTGTTAATAAGCCACATATCATTATTCTTTCTGCGTCTTGCGCGGTGCCCCAGACAGAGTGATGAATGGAGTAATTTGTTTGGGAAAAATACTAATGATACTTGTGTGCCCGAAATGATGGGGCTAAGTAGCAACGCTTCGAGAATGGGTCAAGTTTTCCTTTTCCATTCGTACTTTGCATATTTAATCCTTGTTCTTTTGATTACCCTTTGGCAGATATTCATTTGGGTGCTTTTAGTATCTCCTTCTTGCACATATGCCAGTAAATCCCATTGATAGCCAATTACTAAGCTCTTTTTCAATCGTTTCTTGGAAATTCACTATCAACCAACAACCAAGGGATTTCTGTATGAATGCCGTCGTTGATTAGCCTTTTAAAAATTGTTATTGCCACAACACACAGCTCGTTTGGGGCACCGATTGTGGTGTGTGGTGTGCTGTGGTGTGGGGTGGGGTGGGGTGGGGTGGGGTGGGGTGGGGTGGGGTGCGGTGCCTCTAAAGACCAAAAATTGAAGTTAACTTTGTTGTTTTTTTCTCTCTCTGTTTTTGGCAATTAAGCGGCGAGTAGCAACATGAAAAGGCAACAATATGGCAGGGGCAAACTAACAAACAAATCTTGCCGCATCATAGCAAACTAATTTAACAAATGGTAGCCAAAGCAATCGTGCCACAACAATGTGCCCCTTATAGCATTCGAATGAAAGGAATAGTTCAAATCCCAACTGGCAACTGGCAACTGGCAAATCTTAAATCAAATCCCCACCGAAATCGAACCACATCAAATCATATCAATCAATGGGGGTAGAGCAGAACGTGACACACATTTGTGTTCCTTTTGGCAGAACGGCCACTTTGGGGCAACCGAAGTGAGCAGCGGCCACCGCCCCCGCCACCGCCCACTGATGGCGGGAGGAGTCGAAGGTGGGCAATGAGGGAGGGGCAAGTAGGAGGCCAAACGCGCTGCCGTTTAACATAATTTGCTATAATTTTCAACACAATGGATGGATGGAGTGGAAAGATGGAGCTGTAGTTGGAGCTGGAGCTGGAGCTGGAGCTGGAGAGACCTTTAAAGTGGAGAGTCGGGATTGGGTAACCCTTGGGGGCTCCCGGTGGCTCCTCCGTGTTCCCCCTACGAGCTGCGCGCAATAATCATTTTGTCCAAAGAACGGTAGAACGGTAGATGGGGAGGGGAGCCCTCTGATTGCTACCATGCCCCATGCCCCATGCCCCATTATGCTACGTTGTTTGCCCTTTTATGTCAGAGCTCTAACCTATAATTTAACTAAATGTTCAAATGTTCAGATGTTCGGATGTTCTGCCAGGGCCAGGGCCAGGCCCGTCCGCCGCGTGTTCAACTTAGTTGCCAGACCCTGTGCTCCCCTCCCTCACTCACTCTCTCTCTCTCTGGCTTGCTGCTGTTGAAAGCTCAAAATTGGAAACAAATTTCGGCTCAAGTGCGGAAATAAAATATTAGCCGCACATTTTTCAAAATTGCCAGACAATTTAGAGCCCACAAAAAAGGGCAGCCAGAGGAAGATGTTGCGTTGATAACCGTACAATAAATGATGCGATTTTGATATATCATAATATCAGATATCCTCATAATAAGCCCCCAGCCAAAATAAGCAAAAGCAGGGGTAGGGGAGTGCAAACATAGATGGAAGGGGCAAACCGAAAGTACACACCGAACAGTTGGTGGGAAATCAAAATCGAACGAGAAACGAAAACAAAGTTGCAGCCTGCAATTATTTTCGATTGAAGGGCAACAAAGAGACAATTTTAAAAGATCCAAAGGGATGGGAAAAACGTGCATTACTATTACGAATGACATAAGGCAAAGCCGCTAATGTCGCGAGAGGTAGAGACCACAATCCGACAGCAAACTAAAAGCAAATACCGCGAAATATCCCATACCTATCCCGCCCACACTCGAACACACACAATGGAACTGGAAGGAGGCACGGACGGCTAAGCTGCCACCGCATTTCAATTACACGTAACGTTGCAGCGTAATAAATAAAAGGTGTCCAACCAGCCTGCCAGCCTGCCATCCTGGCAACCTGCCACCACCCACCTGCACTCTGCACCCGATGTTCGCGTCGAGCTGCACAAAATTGTTGCCCATATTTTTCCATATGCGATAGAGGGCCCTGCGGTCACATCATTTTTCATTTTCCCAAACGAAAAACCAAACAAAGAAACAACAATAATAACTAGAGGAATATTCTGTGCTTTGGCAAGCCGAGTTAGTGGATGCCCTGCCAATGGATGGATACGATTTGTATGACGTTGGTTTTGCCCGTGGACAATCAGTGTTCCCCCAGAAAGGGTATGCCGTGGAGTAGGAGGCAAAAAACTGCAACTAAAATATGTATTTACAATAGCAATAGTTTTGCATTTGAGTTTTTTTTTCTTTATTTTTTTGTGCAGAGTTTCGCCCCCCTCTCTCTCTCTGTGGCCGCCTCCCACTCTTTGTACTTTTTTTGCTGCTGCATATTTCGATGCATTGTTTTGTTGCAACAAATGTGCAAATGGTAAATGGCAAATGGAGTGCAACAAAAAGTTAGGAGAAAAAAAAAACAGAGACAAAAATGCCAATTTCGCGTGTGGGCGGGTTCGGTCTCTCACTCCCCATTCGGCTCGAATCTCTGCGAAGAGGACTGTGTGCCTTGTGCACCAAAGAGACCTTTTCAAATCGAAAAAGATACAAAGCAAAAATGTAAGATGCAACTTCGAGAGCTGCTTCGAGGGATACTCTACAATTCTACAATGGATCTTCGATCGCTCCTCTGCGATCATCCTCTTTATGGAGAGCCTCCTCATTAGATACCCCACGGGATCACATGTCCACTCGCTCCCTGTCTCTCTATGTCTCTCTCTGGGAAGCAGCAAACAAATCCCCGATCAGCCAGCCAAGACGCTTGTGGGGCCTGTCATAAAGTCACACGCTTCACCTGGAACGTGCAGCGTGGAGCGAAGGGGCAGGACGGACGGTCGTGGAGCGGGGATCCCCTGAGCATTAAGCATTAACCGTTTGTCCATCCATTTGGATTGGGGATTCGGCATGGGGGCATGTAGCGTGGGGCACACAGCATGTTACTTCCTTTTGTGTGCATCCTGTGTGCCGACGCGTTCCGTTCTCAGGCCCCCCGAAAAAAAGGGAAGAGCTTTTCTAGCGAAATTCGCTGCGCCACAAAATGTGTCAGTTTATAAATGTGAAGGGCCCCAGCTCCAGCTCCAGCTCCAGCTTGGATTGGATTGGATCCTATATGCATGTCTAGCCAGCCAGCAATCCCTTTGGCTTTGGCTTCAGTTCATAAAAGGCCCGGCTGTCCTATCCTGTCCTGTCCAGCCAAATTCAAATGAACTGCAGAACGGCAACGGCAACGGCAACGGCAGAGAGTCAGAACGGCGCTCATCATTAAAATTCACGCTTAAATTGCCTCCTAAGACGGTATGGAGCGCGGGGCAAGAACAGCTGCAGCCACAACCAACTGTCTGAATGCCCCAAAATCTAAGCAAAATTCATTGGAAACTATTTGCCAACAAAATCAAAAAACAAACGAGGGAGCCAGCCAAGCCAGCCCAGCCCAGCGAACGATGCGTTCGTTCCGTTCCGTTCCGTTCCGGGGGCGGCCGTGTGGAACGGCAAAGACATAAATCACAAAAATTTCATTGAGAAAACTTTGAGAAATCGAAAAAGCCCGAAAATAAAGAAAATCAAAATGTTTCGTTGACCGCAGCAGAAGAGATCATTAAAAAACGCGCATCCAAAATATATGAATATTAAAGAAGCAAAAGACCAAAAAAGCAGAAGAGCAAAAAACAAAAACCAAAACGAAAATAAAGTAGAAGTAGAAGAAGAGGAGGAAGTAGAAGGACAAAACGTAGGACCCCAGTGAGAACCGAAGGAAAGAAGGTGCCACTAAAAACTTTTGAAATATGTTTTTATTTTATAACTTTGCATGCTGGGCACGGTGCTTCTGGAGCACCCGACGGACGCACTCTCGGATGCGATGCCCAGTGCCCAGATCGGATCCGATCCCCCGATCCGATGCAGAACGTCGTAAAAATGAAAACTGAAACAGAATGGGGATGGGGATGGGGTTGGGTATGGGGATGGGTATGGGTATGGGTACTGCACTCGCTTTCTGGTTTCTTCTGGGTCTTCTCAGTCTGCTGCTGGTGCTGTTGCTGTTGCTGGTGCTGGTGCGGCTGCTGCTGATTTCTGGTGGAATGGGGGGCTAATTTTGCAACGGCCGCCTGGTGCGGCGGTAGCATCAATGCAAAGCCAAAAGCCACAAGAACAACAATTAGACATGCGCCGTCGCCGCCGCAGCGAACTCCATAAACCGATACCAGTAGACATCGTATAGAAAGATACAAACTACAATATATATATATATACAGACATTTGTGCATACCTAAAGAGATCGGCTACTAAATGTGTTCTTCCTCTTCCTCTTCCTGCTCTGTTCCAGGTCTGGTTCCAGAACAAGCGCTCGAAGGAGAGACGCATGAAGCAAATCACCAGCATGGGTCGTCCACCGTTCTTTGGCGGTGCACGCAAAATGCGAGGCTTTCCCATGAATCTCTCGCCGGGCGGGCTAGACGATGGACCCGGATTTCCCTATTTTGCAGCAGACGCTAAGTTCGAGTTTGGATACGGCGGCCCGTTCCATCCGCACGACGGTCCCTATTTCCCAGGACATCCCGGCGGACCGATGCCGTTCAATGCGCCAGGTAAGCAGTCTGATTTCTATTGCTTTGCCCTCAGAAATAATTAGATTGAAATTGTTGAAAAGTATTTCCGTTTTGCTGTAAAAAAGTGGAGACATTTAGAAGTTTTTCAGTAGTTCCCCCGTCCGGTAATCATTAAGTATCCTGTCTAAATGATGTCCATTCTATGTCATATTTAAACTATAATAATAATAGACCTTAATTCTGGAACCTACCTGTAAGATCATGCACAAAAGAGTACGAGAATATCTGCAGAAGTCAGTTCTAGATCAGAAATCCCATAATTTTGATGAGAAACATGTAAAACATGTTCTGCTTTAAGATGCTAGGATCCCCTAATACTGGATTAAAGAATTGAACCCTATTTTGAGTAAGCCTCAACTAAATGCTTCTTTTATCTCTGGCATCTGTTTTAGGCGGACCCATGGACCACAGCGGACCCATTCCGATGGTGAACGAGTTCGGACTGACGCCGGAGTCGACCTTTCTGAGTCAGGCGGGGGCACCGCCGATGCAGTTGCAGACGGCCGTGGGGCCACCGCCGCCGCCGCCGCCTCCGAGCGCCGAGCACTTGATGGCCGCCGCGCAGCAACAGGCGGCAGCGCAGCAGCAGCAGCAGCAGCAACAGCAGCAGGCGCAGCAGCAGGCACAGCAGCAGGCAGCACAGAATGCGCAACAAGCAAGCCAAACGCAGCAGCAGCAACAAAATGGCCCCCGCACCGCATCGCCCGAGTTCTTGAGCTCCGCAAACTTCAGCGAACCGCAGAATATGCAAAATGAAGGGCTCGTTTGGTAATATACGAAACAGTTGGCAACGCGCCTGCTGTTCCTCCAGACCTACACGCAGGAGAGGGAGCGGGAGCGGGAGAGGCAGTTGGAGAGGGAGATGGAGCGGCTGCGACAGCGAGAGCGCAAAGAGCAGTGAGAGAAATAGCAGTACTAGCCAGCAACAACAGCCGCCGCCCACAGCCGAGGCGCACACTATGGACATCTCGCTCTCGCGCACGGCCATCTGAACAGAGACACACAAACGAACGAGCAGAAGCCGAGAGAGAGAAGGAATGATTGAGAGAGCTCGCGCAATTGAGAGTCGTCGTCGTTCGCGCCATTCGCGCTCTCTCGCTCTCAGTCGAATATTTGGAGGCAAATTCTGCCCCAAGAACAGAAAAGAACACCTCTCGTCTCCCACTCCCCGAGCCCTTTGCCATTAAGCTGCTTTCGGTTTTGTTTTTGTTATATTTTATTATTATTATTTTTATTACTATTCCAATACGTATTTTTGTTCGTGTATTTCTGCGCCAAAATATTTGTAAATTATTAAAAGAAGCAAAACGCAAAAGGAAAAAAAACACAACTAAGAAATAAATAAATTAAAGAAATAAAGATAATTATAGAAATTGACAAAGAAACATCTCTCTAAATGTATAAAAAAACAAAACAAATAAATGGGCGCTGCACATAGAAAAGAAATTTTTTTAACAAAGAAAAAGAAATCCCAAAACGCTAAAAAATATTACACAAAAAACAAAACAAAATAAATACAACCCCTAAACGTCTTGTCTGTAATTTATAAACAAAATACAAAAAAAAAACTAAAAAAACTATTCATGTGTATCTGTGTAAAAACAAAAACAAAATGCAAAATATGTAGTTTAAAAACAAAAAGACAAACCGAAAAAGAAGCAAAAATTATGGATAATGAAAGATGTTTTTGTAAATTAGCACATTTTATTCGTAAACTACTACAAACTGTTTAGTTTTTGCTGCATTATTTTTTTTTAAACGAACCTTTTTTTGAATATTATTATATGAATATATATAGTATATAAACATAAATACAATATATTATAATCGTTGTCTAACAACATAAACGTAACTAGACATGTACTTGTGTAGTTCACCCTAGATCTAAGTCTATAAACACAAACATATATAAATACAACCAGATCTAAAAACGACAGTCACCACTTACACACTTGGACACACAATTGGACCGACAGTTGAGCAGACAGACAAAGAGACAGTTGAACAGACAGACAAAGAGACAGATGGACAGACAGACAGACAGATATATAGCGCAACTAAAACTAAAACTATTTTTTTTTTTTTTTGTGGTCTTAGAATGTAAGGAAAAACGTAATTTATTATAAAGGAAATCTCTGGCAAGAAATGCTAAAAACCTAAATGTAAAACCTAGAAAAGGAACAAAACAAAAACTAAACAAAATATATATATATTTAAATATATATAAATAAATATATAAATTTCCAATTATACAGATATAGCAAGCTAAAAATCGATAGAAAGAGAGAGAGAGAGAGAGAGAGAGAGAGGAAGGAAACCAGATGGAATGGAATCCAGAACCCAGCTAACAATTTGCGTTTTCAATTGATATATGATTACTATGATTGGGAATTATTATATGATTATTATTATTGTAAAAAGTACTTAGTGTTAGCATAATGCGTAAGTCAAAGAACAGACCCCCTCCCACCCCACAAGACACAAGAAGACCCAAAACAATTCCCCCCCTCCACACACACAAACGCGCAGTAGAGTGTGTGCGTGTGTGTGTGTGTGTGTGTGTGAGTGCAAAAGAAAAGATACTTACACGTGCGAGTAGCTCTGCAAAGATAAGATTCTCTTGGAAGATCCTCTTGGGAACAGGATGAGGATACGATAAACGAAGGCGATGGATGGGGCAAGGCGAATCAATAATGAATAAACACAAATTGTTAACAAAAAACAAAAAAACTAAATCAAACAAACAAACAAACAAAAAAAGAAAAACAAACGGCAGAGAAGAGCAACAAACAAAAATGGAAATGAACGAAACATTTGATGAGAAAAAATATATATAAAATAAAAAAAAACATTACAAAATTTGTGTTTTTGTCATTTGATGGGTGATGGATGATGGATGATGGGTGGGATGGGATGGGAGTCAGTGGAGGGTAGCCAAGATCCAAGCCAATATCCTCAATCTGTTAGTTCGATCTGTAGTTTCTTCACATCCAGAAAGTGTGTCAGTGTCCATCTATCTTTTATTGTATAATGTTGGAATTAAGATTGAAGCCAGGGCAGTATTATGAGCCTAAGCTCTGCTACATATCTGTATCTGCAGCTGCAACTTGTAGCGGCGGCAACATCATCTGTGGCAGCGTCTTTAAACGTAAACACACAGGAACAGGCACAGACACAGACACAGGCACTGATGGGAGGGCAAGTTAATATGCGTGGCTAATATCGGGACAACACATTATTAATGTGGAGGACATGCACATGCGTGTCTGTGAAGCATAGGTGAGTACGCTGGCGGGGTGTTGCAAGGTGGCTGGGGTTGCAACGGGGGAAAGGGGGAGGAAGGGGGAGGAAGTCACTGCCTTTTGTTCGACACATGTGCGCGCATTCACACCTACGACCCAAAACACGACAGCGAACAATGAACGGAATGGACGTGGACATTGGACAGTGGACAGTGGACCCCTGCTCCGGCTTTGGCTCTATGCCTCTGCGGCTCTGGGGTGGGGGAATGCGAGTGGACACGGCACTGTAGATGGCATTTAATGCAAAACAATGCTGCTGCAAGGCTGCAAGGAGAGTGGCATGCAACACACAACACGGGGGAGCAACAGCAACAACTGTAGCCATGACGAACGCAAACGCATACACTTGCAGGCGTTGCAAAACGAGGCGGCACGCACATGGACATGGGCTGGATGCCCCAAGCCCACTCCCCCACATATGTATGTACACACACACACAGCTGCAATCTAAAACGCATATTAAATGTCCATCAGCCAGAGCCAGAGCCAGAGCCAGAGCCAGTAGCTATGAGCCAGCCAGCCTCCATGTGCGTGTGTGTGCAACGTTCAATCTGTCCAGGGCCATCAATCCGCAAAAGCGTCGACCCAGGACGAGAGTCGAGCCTGCTGGACTCTGCACCCTGGACCCAAAGTCCTGACGTGTGACGTTCGTTTATCAGTTGGCAGCCGCCGCACGGCCAAAGGGCGGCCACCGCCCGAATGATGGACGGTACGTGAGCAGACCAGAGAGAGAGAGAGAGACAAGAGACCAGTGACCATATGCATCCATCCATCCATCCATCCATCTGCACTGTGGAATGAGAGAGTCCTGCGTTAGAAGGCAATCGCCACTTTAAGGGTGGGAACTCCTGGTACTGCTGGATGGAAGGGATCCTCCTGGATCAACTCCTTTATGCAGTGAGATCCATTGCAGCTAGTTTTGTCCCACTGTGCCTGGGAGGTGTGTGAGAATTTGCTCTTTGCGTTGTTTCCGTTTCCGTTTGTCGCCAAAAATGAATTTGTTAACATTAAATGGCATTTAGATAGAGAGAAAGAGAGAGAGAGCATGGCTCTGGGAATAGGTACGGAATGGCAATCCCAGAGTCATTCTCCCCTCCTTCTGCGACCACTCACACCTCATTCATGGGCTGCTGGCTGGGACAGGGACAGGAGCAGGGACAGGGACAGGGACAGGGACAGGCCTTCATTCATCATCACTCATGTTGGCTGGCCTGTCCAGTAGGTTGCACAAGCAGAGGAGGCAGGCAGTAACTGTAATTGTAACTGTAACTGTAGTTGTGATAAATGCTTCTGGGCTTTCGGCTTAGACACGCGCTACGGCTACCATCATCTGCAGCAGCTTCCAGCATCCATCCACGCCCCGAGACACGACGGTTAAAGATAATTTATAAGAAAGACAAACAAAAACAAACAACCCAAGACCACATACATATGTAGATATACATATATATATATATATTGAAACCACAAAATTACCTTCAACAGAGAGAGAGACACAGAGAGAGAGATCTCTTAAGGAGGCTCTGTTTGCCTGCCTCTAATTGCCCCTCCATGAGCGATGTCTAATGACTCAATTTTGGCTCGAAAAACCGAGACAATTGCCAGTCCACAATTATCAGCATGTGAGTCACTTCGATGGTGGGGAGAGTGGAATAAAGTGGCGAGTGGTGAAGCGGCATGTGCGTGCCACGCAATGACAGCCAAAGCGACGATTTTTGATTTGAAGCTGTCGAAAAGCAACTCAAACACGAGCAACAAACACGAGCTACAAATTGAATTCAAAGGAACAAACCAAAAGGGCACATGATCGATGTGCGAATACCCTGAAGAATGCCTGCAGAAATTGTTGAAATAAAGAGTCAAAGTAGCTGAAATATCCCGATTGGATATGCCTTTGAAAACTATTTAAATCTGCATGGATGATGCAGATGTTCCAATGGTACAGTCCAGGCTGAAGCTAAATGAAAAACCCAAAAAACACCCAAGCAAAAATCGGAAAGAAAGAAGCAAATCGAAGGGGGGGGGGGGGAGGCAAAGTGGAAAGTTCAAGTTGTGAAAACAGACAGGCAACGTAGACAGGACAGAGCCAGAGCTTAGGACAGGAGCCGAGGGAGGGAGGCCAGGGCCAGAGCGAGGCCCAAGCAACGTAACAGAACCGAATGGGTTACCATCGCCCAGTGTCTGTCCATGGTCTCATGTCCATGTCCGGAGGGGGAGTCGAGAGTCAGAGAGAGTGCTACTGTTGCCACCGTCTACGTCTCTTCCGTGTCCCGTGTCCGTGTCCCGTGTCCCGTGTCCGTGTCCTGGGTCCGTGGCTGCTGACACGCAAACCTACTCCAATTTCCAGGGCGCCGTGTGTCTGTCTGTCTGTCTGTCTGCCAAGTGTCAGGACGGGCAGAAAAGGATTTCACTTCGACACAGCGCTGACACTTTGCCGGCTGCAAAAGCGAACCGAGAACCCTGTGCCTGTGCCTCTGTGCCTTGTTCCGGTACTGGGTCTGGGGCTATGGGGGTCTGGGACATGCTTGATAGCTCCGTGTTTTGTCATTAAAACGATGCAACTGCAAATGCCAAACAAAAGCAGGCAACTGCAGCAGCAGCAGGAGCAGGAGCAGGACATCACAGTAGAGCAATTGTTTCGAAGGCTTATTAGTTCAGTTAAGTGGTTGGAGATGGCCCAAGGAGGTTGGACAGCAAAGTACAACGAACCGAAAGCCGTAGGAAAATGTGTAAGGAAAGTCACAATTAAAGGACTGTCGAATGGTTTACCATCCATTCCGTAATAATTTCTCGATTTCTTTTGTAGCAAACCTCGTAGACCCCATGGCGCTTCTGGGAATGATGTTTTGCATCGATTCCCGTTCACCTTTTGGCATCCACAGCCGCTCCACAGAGCTCCACACATGCAAGGCTACTGTGTTGTATTTCTTGGCCACATCTCCCCCCTCTCTCTCTTTCACTCTATTTTGGTATCTCATTCTTGGGCACACTGTTACTGTT